GCTCATAGAACACAGAATAATAGGGTTGAAAGGGACCTTGGAAATCTTCTAGTCTAACGACCTGCTCAAACCAGAAACCTCATATCATTCCAGAAAAATGGCTGTCAGTCTCTTTTTGAAAACCTCTACTGATGAAGTATCCACAATCTCTGGAGGCAAGCTGTTCCATTAATTTAATCACTGAGAGGAAACTTCTCTTTAATTCTATGTTGGGTCTTTCTTTAAAGATCTTCCATCCATTACTTTGTGTCCTGCCCTCTGATGCTTTGGAAAATAAGTTGACCCCACTCTTCTCTGTGACAGCCCCTCAAGTACTGGAAGACTGCCATCATACCACCGCTAATCTTTCTTTTCCTTAGACTAGACATACCTAGTTCCTTCATTTGTTCATCATATAGTTTAGGCTCCAGACTCCTTGTCATCTCTGTTGCTTTTCAATGTACACTCTTTCTAGGGTATAGTATCTTTTTCGCATTGTGGTGACCAGAACTGGATGCAGTATTCTAAGTGTGATCTTACTAGTGCAGGATAAAGTGGTGCTAACACTTCATGTGATCTTGATACTACCCTCTGTTGATGCAAACCTAGGACTGCATTGGCTTTTTTGGTACTGCTGGCTCATACTTAAATGGTTGTCCAGTAGGACACCAAGATCCATTTTTCAATTATTGCTGTTGAGCCAGGTACCTCATATTCTGTACTATGCATTTGATTTTTCTTGCCTAAATGTAAGGCCTTACTTTTATCACTGAATTGCATTGACACAAAATTCTTGGAACATATATTTAAACTTGGAATATATATATATGTTCTGGATTATTTGCACATTAGATACTAACTCCTGAATTAGAAAGCTCAAATACAACTGCTATGAACAACATTCTCAGAGACTCTTCCCATCCTGCTTACAATCTTTTTGGACTGTTGCCTTCTGGCAGAAGATACAGAACAATTAAAACTCAGACCACACATCTTCTGAATAGTTTTTATCCCAGAGCTATAATTGGACTCAACAATGAACTAAAGAGCCACTATCAGTGAGCTGCTGGACAGCATTACTTGGTCTATTGTATGGATGTTGAGGGGTGGGGAATTTTTGGTGGGTGGGGGTGCATCTGGGGATTGTCATGTGGCTTGGTCTCTGGGTGTTATGTGAATTTCATTGTATGGGTATACTTTGTATATATGTACAATGACAATAAACTATTCAATTAAATTAAATTAGGAAATAACAGTAGAAGAAGAATATCTCCTTCTAATCAAGCTTTCTAAGCTTCTTTAATCTGTGGGTTTGGTTCCTCAGTGTCATAGGGTAACACATGAGCCTTTTTTCTTCATTTTTATGTTATCTTTCCTTTTTTCTTCCATTATGTCAACTAATATGCTATCAATTCAGTTATTTAACTCATAAACCTGGAAACAATATACAGATTCATGGAACATGTATGCTTTATTTGGCACAAAGAATTAGTGTTTTCTGACATTAACTCAGATACAGAAAATAGATATAGACAATGAAATGGAAATGTTTCTAGTTTACCTCAGAATAGAGTGTCAGACTTGATTTATAAAGACTGCATTGAAAATCAAGAATCCAAGACTATCTTCGTATAAGTGTTATGTCACTTTTAACTCATCACTTTTTGTTATAACACTTTTTGTTATGTATTCCTGCTATCGTGTTAGAATTAAACCATTCTGACATCTTGGCTGTGTTGATTTCATTTTGGTAGCAGGAAGATATAAAGAGGAGAAATGAGATGAATGGATTTCTAAACTGTCATCTTGAATTTCATTTTGCATATTGTATTGAATTTTAAGTTGCATTTGAGAAATGTTTAAAATCCAAAGAGCTGATGAGACTGGATCACTTGAATTATCCATTTTGAAATTAGAATTAGTGAGTGCTTATTAGTGTCTTTCTCCAAGAGCAGCTTACATTTTTTATCACAGTTGTTTTGACTACAAAACTTTGGCTAATCTTTTTAAAGTGGCTTGATTTGCAAGGGAACCTCCTAGGAGAAAATTCAAGATTTAAACTTTTTAAAAAACAAAACAAAATCACAGAAAATTACTTATACAAATTTAACCACTGGTTTAAAGAGTGATGCCATCAAGAGAACTTTGGGTTTCTAGGCCATGGTCTACAATACCTACCAGAAGGGCTTCTGGCAGGGGTTGGACTATAACTCAAAAGATTGGGAAGAACTTTTTTGGAAAATATTTTCATCCTAAGTGTAGAGAAGAGAACTAGAGAGTCAGCTATACTGGACATAAATCTTATTAATAGGATGAAATGATAAAGGGGGGTTGAAGTTGCGAGAACGATCATGATATTTTGGAATTCGACATAATGCAGGCACAAGTAATAGTGTCTTAGACTTTAAGGGAGCTGATTTCTATAAACCGAGGGAGAATTTAGGAGGATTCCATAGATGAAAATCTTAAAGAGGAAAACAACTCAAGAAGCTTGGGAAACTCTGTAAAATGAGAATATAATAGCCCAATCTAGCACAATACCAGTGAAAAAGAAAAATAAGAGATCCCAGAGAAAACCAGCATGATTGATATAGAACTTTCTGATAAACTGAGAAACAAAAAGGCCAAGTATAAAAAATGGGAAGAGGGACACATAACTAAAACAGACTACCAACAAATAGCCGGTGTCAGGAATTAGAGACTGATTGAACTGCTTTAATTCATTCTTTGCATCTGTCTTTATGCAAAAAGAAAAAAAAATCCAATTTACCAAAACAGTATGATAGAAGACAGAATAGGAACATAAATTAAATTAGGAAAGAAAATGGAAAGACAATACCTCTCTACCCTAGACGGCTTCAAATACTAGGACCAGACAGATTACATTCCAGGGTTCTGAAGGAGCTGGAAGATGTGATCTTGGAACCATTGAACAAAATCTTTCAAAGCTCCTGGTGTACCGGGGAACTACCAGAGAACTGGAAAAGAGATGATGTGGTTCCAATCAGTGGTGGGATTCAGCCAATTCACACCACTTCGGAAGAACCGGTTGTTAACTTTCTGAGCAGTTTGGTGAAATGGTTGTTGGAAGAAATCATTAGGGCAGAGAACTGGTTGTTAAATTATTTGAATCCCACCACTGGTTCCAATCTACAAAAAAAGAAAAAAAATGGATCCAGGAAACCACAGACCAATGAGCCTGACATCAATATCTGAGAAAATTCTGGAAAAGATAAAAGAGAAACAAGTAACAGATTTGTGAGCACCTAGAAATCAGCAAGATGATTATTAGAAGCCAGCATGGGTTGTCAAAAACAGATGATGCCAAATAAACCTTATTCAACAAAGTGACCTAATTAATGGAGAAAGGAAATGCTTTGGACTTAAACTTCAGAATGCAGAGAAGAGCAACAAAGATGATTAGGGGACTGGAGGCTAAACTGTGTGATGAACAGTTGCAGGAACTACCTATGTCTAGTCTAACAAAGAGAGAGATTAGAGGTGACGTGATAGCAGTCTTCCAATATTTGAGGGGCTGTCACAGAGAAGGGTTTGGGGGGGGATCAACTTATTCTCCAAAGCACCTGAGGGAAGGACAACAAATAATGGATGGAAGATTAGCAAAGAGAGATCCAACCTAGAACTAAGGATAAATTTCCTGACTTTGGAAACAAAATCGGTGAAATGGCTTTCCTCCAGATGCTGTGGATACACTATCAGCACCAAGGTTTTCAAGAAACAATTGGTCATTTGTCCAGAATGGTATAGGGTCTCCTGCTCAAGAAGGGGTTTGGACTAGAAGACTTCCATAAAATAAAAATAAACTGATTTAAGGTATTGATCTCTTGTTTAGTCCAACTATTCCAATAAACATCTTCCCCACTATTTTCAAATTTCAGTTATACCACAATGTGAATTCCTGTTGTAATTTGGGATTAAATCACAACTATGTACCTATCATTAAATAAATATGCCTAGCAGTTAATATATCTAGCCCTTAATACCAGCTAAGATTGCAAGGGTTATAGGATTGTTCTCAGGTTTTAATCTTACTATGAATTTGGCCTTACAATAAAGAAATATAGGAAGATTAAATTATTGATTATAGCTTTTCAACAACATAGGTGTCAGTAAGTTTGTTAAAAAAATATTTAGTAATACATTTATTACCCAACTTTATTTTGTACAATTTAAGGCAGCATACATACGTAATGCTTTTCAATGTCAAGTCTACAATGTAAATCAAACCAAGAAATCAACTCCATACAAAGGCAAAAACTGCAGGTATTAATACTGGCTATAAAGTCTGACTATGCTATATTTCCCTCTCCCAGCCACTACATGTGTATTCATGTAGATCAGGAAGGTGTCTGCCTGAGTCTTTTGCCTATGCTGTCATCTTATTTTGTACCTAACCCACATTTTTCCCCTTGTCACTTTGGTAATGGACCTGGCCTATCTCTATCAAGGTCATCTTTTTTATTCTCTAAAGCTACTTCTTCCTATTTTCCCCCAAACAACAATCCTGTAAGGTGGCTGTGTTTAGAAATAATGGATGGTTGAAACAATATATAGTTTATGTTCCCGGAAAATTTCTTTTGTTCAATAAATTCTATCAAATTAGTAACTTGCTATTCAGTTGCAGAAGTCTCTGATGTAACTGAGTATAAAAATAATTAAAAGGTTGATTAATAGATTTTGTTTCAGTAAATGATAATCATTGATCTGAATTCCAGTTATAAAATTTTATTGTTTGTGTTTTTTCAAATGATAGGTGTGGTTATGTAAGTTGTAAAGAAAAATATGATTTGTGGAGAAACACATATAAAATCTGTACAAGAGCAACTGCAGATTTAAGGTGTTTAAAAGTATTTGACTGAGAAATGCGACGGTTTACAAGTATTTACAATTGTTTACTGTATTACCATCAATCCATACCACTTTAGATATATGCCTATCAATGCCTTAAGGAGAAAAATTGTTAAGATGATCTGCTAAAACAAATTATTAATTTTACTTACTACCAAGTCCAGATCATAACTTGTTATTCCAGCCTTCTTTATTGTATCTGAGATGCTACTTCTTGATTCAAAACTACAAGAGACCAATATAATAATAACAAAACTCCAAGCATGTAAGTTTTTTTAAAAAAATCTTAGTTATATCACCACATACATTCAATAATCTTTTTAAAACTAATGTTGAATTGATCTACTGTAAATGTCAAAACATAAGATGAAATGAAACATGATGTAAGGTTTCCACTTATTAAACACCAGTGCTTTGTTTGAGTCTTAATCTTCTAACATATTTTTTCTATGAGTCTTCATTCAAATAACAACTTTCCACAATACTCTCAGGAAAATGTGAGGTTGCCTGCTATGATATGCTTACTGGAAAAATGATTTAAAATATTTTGGACATCATTTAAACATAGCATCTCTCTGTTATTAATTAAAGCAACCCATGTTTCTAAAGGCTTTATGTGATCCTGATAGAAAGATATATGGCTTTAAAGAGCTGCAATACCTTTAAAGAGCTGACTTCTTAAAGCAGTCACATCTTAATTCAAGTTCACACAAAACAGGGTGCTTTCATGAGATCCAAAACACATCTCTTCTTCCCAAGAGAGAGAGAAAGAGAGAGATCATCACAGATCCAGATCCATTATTTGGCATACTAGGAAGTAACTAAATATTCATTACATGGCTTCGGTAATCAGACAAAAGCTGTTTGTCAAAGAAATATTGTATATGGAATGAAGAAACAATCAAGTGGAAAAATTAGTAGGGAAAAAAAACAAAATTATTTCACATCGAAAATAGAAATGGAAGTTCAAGCTTCCATAAAACCCTTTTTCAATATAAAGACTTTGTAAATTCAAGTCTGAATTATTGTATTGTTTTCTTTATGGGATAGCATTTGAGCATAATATGGAAATTGCAGCCAGCCCAGAAGCATGGGCAGTAAGTGGAGCTTCCTGAAGGTTCCTCAGATTGAAACATCTGCTCCATTGAGTTCCAAGCCCAATTCCTGGCATCCGCAATGGACTTACTTAGGCTAGGTCAGGATCAAATTACTTGCAGAACAACCTATTCCCATATAGTCCATCTAATATTTTTGAATCATCGATACCTTTTATAGGACCCAACAATGGATACATTTGACAGTCACATTAATTCTGCCTTTTGTTAGCAGGGTCCATTTGTGGAACTAACTACCAGTGGGGGTCAACCAAATTCCTTTATTATAGTTTAGAGAGTTGCTCAAAACATTTTTTATTCAGACCATTTTTTAAATTGCTTATAACATTAAAAATGTTTATTATCTCATAATAAATTTTAGGATTTTTAAAAAAGTTACATTCCTGCCCATTCTTCAAGGCTCTGGGTTGGGAACTGAAAAGGTTGGGATGATCTTGCAACTAGTGTGGGAAGTGAAAATATTGAGAGCAACAGTCTTCTCTACCAGTGTTCATCAATACACTGGATTACATTGCAATGAGTTTGATCTTTGCAATGAGTTTGATCTAACCCTCCAAACCTCTGAAGCAGTTATGATTAGGATCAAGTCTCTATTTATGGGTTGAAAGAACAAGCTAGAATATTGATTTCTTGTAAAGGGCATTGGGAAGATCTGGAAACAGGTATCTTGTCTCAAGGGATACTCATATTATAGAGTAAACCTGAGGAGTATATTCCACTCTGCTTAATGATGCAAGACGTTGTAGCTATATTGCCTATAGATGGGAGAATGAGATTCTATCAGTTTAAATACTGGAACTCTAGTTACTGGCTTGCTGTTGCTTGGACTACATACAGAAGACATTTAGCACACAGTGACATTCCCCCCTATACTGAGATTTAATCAGCCACCATTCCATCTTAAGAAGATACTGACAGAGCAGATGTTTTGGGATCTGAGTCTGCTTGCCTTTCATAGGACACATTGCTGAAAATAAAAGTTAGCTCCAGCTGGTGGGGAAATTTATGCTGGAGATGAAAGCACATATCATAAGTAAGATGGCATGAAGTGCAGTGGTAAATGCAACATGGAAATTGGAAAGTTTAAGAGGAAAGTAATAACAATAAAAGAGAAACAAACAATAGAAACAATTACCTTAGAATCACAAAACTCACTGAACTAAGGTATTGATGTGATAAACATTAAATATTTCATTTCTAAAGCTTTCTAGATATACTTCAGTGGGACCAAAATTCTGTGTGTGGAGTGCATAGAGAACACAAAGCAAACAACACCTTTCTTATACTCTTTATGAAAGTAAAAATTATTCATCCTGGATTATAAAATAATTGTCCTTTTTCATCCAGCATCAAAGATATACAACTGGATAGTACAGAATATCATTATTATGACCCCAGGTGATGCATTATAAAGAAAAAAAAAATTCTGACAGAGAATGCTTTTGTCAACATTTATATGTTTAGAGTAAGATGTGTTTCATGGGTGTCCCATTTAACATCAACTGCAAACATACATATCATTATTATTGTCATTAACTAGAATACAAGAATCAATAGCATGACTAGATCATATTCAGTATTAACTGTATTTATAGAGATGCAACTATTATCAACTTCCTAGTTATTTCACAAGGTTTCTCCAAGGTAAATCCCTGGAGTAAATAGTACAAATCAATGCATATACAATAACTTCTTATAAGCATAAAGAGGAATGAAACAGTTTTCATATTGCTGAAAAGCAGATGGCTATTAGGAATCTTATTAATGTCTCGCTTTGGAATTGTTGGCTTTCTTTGTATAAAATTCATTCCTATCTTGTGTTATAATCAGAAATAATGCAGACATAGTAGGTGCAGAGGAGAATAGTAAAGAATTTCAACTTCTTAAGTACCACTGATAATATTCATTCTGACTCTGTGGGAAGAACAGGTGCATTCTTAGTATCACAACTGTAGTTTGGGTAACTAAATTTGAATTTTTTAAAAAAAGAATTAAAATGTTCCCGACTTGGAACCAAGAACTCTTTGTAGAAGCATAATGACTTCCATTTGCCCGAGGAAAATCTAATAGATAGACCTAATCTAATAGAACCAATTTGATGCAGTAGTTAAGGTACCAGGCTAGAAACCGTGAGTTCAAATCCCACCTTAGCCATAAAAGCCAGCTGGGTAACTTTGGGCCAGTTAGTCTCTCTCAGCCCAACCCACCTCACAGGGTTGTTGTGGGGAAAATAGGAAAAGGAAGGTGTGTTGGATATGTTTGCCACCTTGAGTTATTTATAAAAAAATAATAAAGGCAAGATTAAAATAAAATAAAATAAAATAAAATAAAATAAAATAAAATAAAATAAAATAAAATAAAATAAAATAAAATAAAATAAAATAAAATAATAAAATGAAATGAAATGAAATGAAATAAAAGAAAATAAAAATAAAATAAAATAAAATAAAATAAAATAAAATAAAATAATAAAATAAAATAAAATAAAATAAAATAAAATAAAATAACTTTATATCCTTTAGACTAGACTAGATTAAACTAGACATTTACTATTCTGGGAACATGGAATTAATTTCACAAACCTTAGAAATTACTTTTTGAGTGCTCATTTTAGTACTTCATCTTGAGGTTTGTGGCTAAGTAAAAATAGTGTAAAATGCATACCTGGATATCTTGGCAATTATTAATGAAGGGACTGACAAAGCTGTTTCTCTTTCTATATCACCCATACATTTATAAGCAATTTTATTCCACCCATTATTTATTTCCTACTTCAAATCAATATCTGCCTTATCTGCCTTTTCTCTACATCATAACTGTAGGTTATGGAAGTATAGGAAATATATGTCCTATATATGTGTCTCAGTCAGAAAAAAAGAAATCAAGGGCTGACATAAAGGTGGAAAAACAGGAGCACTAAAAGATCCTATGCAGACTTTTTTCCCAATTCTGGAATAACAGACTTTGCTGCTTTGAATAGCAAATCTGCTTTGGTTAAAATATCACATAGAAGGATTGGTATCATTGAGTTGGATAGATGTGGATCATCATGGAATATGCATGGCTATGTGTCAAGTTATCCTTCTCAATATTCAAAATATACTGGTGTTAATGAAGTGGAAAATGATTATTAAAGCTGATTATGAAATTTGATCTATGTATTGTAACTGAAGCCATCTTTCAATATAGTTGGAAATTTTTGTATTGGTGTATGCTTTCAAGTAAGCATTGTCTCAGAATTACAGAATAACAAAGTTGGAAGAGACCTTGGAGATCTTCTAGTCAAACACTTCGTTCAAGCATGAGATCCTATATGAGTTCAGACAATAACTGTCTTCTTGAAAATCTCCAGTGATGGAGAACCCACAACTTCTGCGACAAGTCATTCCACTGATTAATTGTTCTCAGTGACACAAAATTTCTCCTTAATTCTAGATTAGTTCTCCAAATTATAATCTTTCATCCATTACTTCTTGTCCTGCCCTCAGGTGCTTTGGACTCGTTCCTCTCTGTGATAGCCTCACAACTGTTCATCATATGTTTTAGCCTCTAGTCCCCTAATCATTTTTGTTCTTCTGGACACAGTATTCCAAGTGTGGTCTTATTAGTGCAGTATAAAGCAGTACTAATGTGATCTTGATACTATGCCTCTGTTGATGCAGTCTAATACTGCAATGGCTTTTGTAGCACCTGCAGTATACTGCTGGTTTATACTTAGGTGATTATCTAATAAGACTCCTAAATACCTCTTACCTGTTGAGCCAGGTATCACCTATTCTATACCTGTGCATTTGGTTTTTCTTGCCTAAGTGTAAAGCCTTATTTTTCTCACTATGAATTTCATTTTGTTGGATAGAACACAGTGTTCAAGTCTGTCAAGATCCTTCTGGATCTTGAGCCTATTTTCTAAAGTGTTCGCTATTCCTCCCGGCTTAGTGTCACCTGCAAATTTGATGAGTCCCCCCTTCTATCCCTTCATCTAAATCAGGGATGTCAAACTCAAGGTCTGGGGGCCAGATCTGGCCCATGGGGTGCTTAGATCTGGCCCACAGAGCCGCCCTGGAAACAGGAAAGGACTGGCCCACGGTGCCTCTGCCAGTGAAAATGGAG